CCGGGCTGGATTCGAACCCACCACCTTTGGTGTATGTGGCTGGCGCCTTAGCCGCTTGAGCCACAGGCGCCGAGCTACTAGTCCTATTTCAAATGTTCGATAGCTATTGAGTATTTACTTAGTAAATATTCACATCTATAGTCCACAGCTAAGACTGAGCAGAGATCTAGGGGTGGAGGCTATAAAATGAAAAGCAGGAATGTGGTAGCAACAAGAAGCTGGAAGGGTGGGAAGATGGTGCTCAGTAAGAAAGAGCTTTCAAAGTTGCACTCCTGGGGAAGACTACTGGTGAAATGGAGTGTTTGAGTGTCCAGAACACTGGCTGGATTAGAGCTCTACTGAAATTAGTGTTTGCAGCTCTTTTGTGGTCCGGGCACAGTGGCTCACGTCTATAATCCTAGCACTCTGGGAGTCCAAGGCAGGAGGACCACTTGAGCTCAGGAGTTCAAGACCAGGTTGAGCAAGAGCAAGATCCATCTCAACTAAAAATAGAAAACTGAGTGGGGTTTGTGGTGGGAACCTGTAGTCCCAGCTACTTGGGAGGCTGAGGCACAAGGATCACTTGAGCTCAGGAGTTTGAGGTTGCTGTGAGATAGGCTGATGCCATGCCATTCTAGCCTGGGCAACAGAGTAAGACTGCAAAAAAAAAAAGTAAAGTAAAAAAAACCTCTTTTGTAGATACTGAAGTCACAAAGGATATGATGATTGAGCAGGAGTTGTGTGGGAGATAGATATGTGACATTTTAAAAACTTTATTATAGAAAACTTCAAAGATAAATGATACCCTCATATTAATTTGAAAACATAAAGAAACTCATAAAAAGAAAACTTCAAAGATATATAAATAGATTAGTATAATGAACCCTCATATACTCAGTGTCCACATTAAGTGGTTACCAATTGTATGTCGTTCTGGTTTTGTCTGTATATCTCCACCCACGTGATTATCATTATTCTCCTTTTACAGTTCTTTAAAGGTATAATTTACAACACTGAAACACACAAATCTTACCTGTCAGTTTTGACAAATGAATACATCTGCACTCCCTGCACTTTGTATGATCAATAACATTTCCATCTACCCAGGAAATTCCTTTGTGGTACATGGCCTTTTACTGTGACCATTTTGATTCAAAGATATTTTCATACAACCCAAAGTCTAACCATAACACCTTTTTATTACAAAGACATTCTCACTTCATTCCTGAGCTTCACCTCACCACAGCTCTCTCACTTCATCTTTGATTTCATTTCTCTTTTCATTTTTATTTTTAAGACAGACTCACTCTGTTGTCCAGGCTAGAGTGCCAAGCATCAGTCAGCCTAGCTCAAAGTGGTCTTCCTGCTTCAGCCTCCTGAGTAGGTGGGACTACAGGTGCCCACCACAATGCTCAGCTAATTTAACTATTAATAATAGAGAGGAGTTTCACTCTTGCTCAGGCTGGTCTGAACACCTACACTCATGTGATCTTCCCACCTCGGCCTCCCAGAGTGCTAGGATTATAGGTGTGAGCCACTGCGCCTGGTCTTGGACCTCTTTCTTTCTTTTTTTTGAGACAGAGCCTAAAGTTATCCCCCTGGGTAGAGTGCTGTGACATCACAGC